GAAACGAATAATGAACGCCTGAGCCTTATCGCCGCGCAGGCCTACCCACCACTGTGATCCTAAGATCACCGGAAATTCTACCATTGCATCCCTAGATATCCCCTTCCCTACCTCTCTCCTCTTTTACCCCCCTATCCCATACCCCAATCCAACAGATGTTAACGAATAAATATATCCCCACCCTCTCCATCTACCCACCTTCCCCAAGCAACCTCATACGCCTCTTCCAGATCCCTCACCCATCTCCTCGTATCGAAAAGTGCACAATCATATCTATTTTCATAAAGTAATCTCCTTAGATCACCCAATCTTCCTCTCCCTATACCATATCCCATACTCGTATCATAATGGAAGTTCCTCGCCAGCCTTATTGCGAATTCTTCATATTGCTCTTCATCCCTGGCAATAAGTTCTGAAGCCGCCCTTTTCCCTTCCTCGCTTCTGGGTAGGGCGCCTTTCAGGATAGATGCTGCCATGCGAGAACACATTTTGTATTTGTACCGTGGTAATGTAAGGAGAGGTGTACTAGACCAAAGAACATCTGCAGCTGTTGTATGGGCGTTACATTCGGGAGTGTCCAAAAAGAGATCACAAACTCGTGCTCGGGAGATGTGTTGATGTTTGGGTGCGACATCGGTGAACCAAATTCGTGATGCAACACTTTCCCCTGCCCAATCTCGTGCTGTAGCCTTTAAATTACTTTCTCCTAAATCAGGAAAGCGCAACAACCAAAGAATAGCTCTTGGAACTTTATCCAAAATCCTCAACCAAGTACGGAAAGTAGTCGGTTCAATCTAAAGATAGTAAGTATAAGAGCAAGGTGGGGATATCTAAACCTATTAGACATACCTTGTAAAGTTGATTGAAATTTCCAAGAATGATAGCATCATCAGATAAACTCGGAAATAATTGCTTTCTCATCTTCCATCTAGTAGTTTGTTCCTCTTTCCATGATGCTTGTTGATCCCGTGGTTCCGATTGAGCATGGTCGCAACAAAAAAATGTATCCCTACAAAATATAATGTTCTCAGAATATACCCAATGATCCTCATCAATAGATTGTTCATCCTCAATTTGATCCTCTAGGTCAAGATTTCGTCTCCAAGGTCGTAATGTGTCGGGTGGGATAGCGGTTTCGTCAGCCAAAAGATAATCACACCACTCAGCTCCTAGAGTTCCAGCAAAGCCCATAAAAGACATTTGAATAGGAGCTGGACGAGCAGCAAATACTTCATTACGAGCACCTCGAGTATATCCATTGAGATTCACTAGAATATGAATACCATCCTGAACAATTTGGTTCACTAAACGATCAGCGGACCACGAACTAACATCACGAAAGACTGGAGCCTCGCGTTCAATTTGTTGTCTATGAATGGAGTTGTCGCTTGCGGTTGTAGCATAGCAAAATGCTTTTGCTCGCGAGGGATTGTGGAAGCCAAAAACAGATTGCATCCTACAAAGTTATGAGCGTTGTTATTTTAATGAGAAAACGAAATACTTACAAATGTGCCAATGGATGATTATTGAAATCAGAAGAAACATATCCAATATTAAGATGAGGCTTTGGAGGAGAAGGAGGTGGGAATACGGATCCCTGCATCCAAGGAGATCGCAGCGTAGAACAGGATATCCTAAGAGCGTTCCGCTGAGAGATCAGACGTATATCTTTTGCAGATAGCGGGCAAGTGAAAGTATGGAAAGGTAAGACGGTAGGTGCCGATGGTATCGAAAGGCTACTTGGGAATTGAGGGCGAGGATAAAAGGCAGCAGAATATTCTTTTTTCTTGACATATCTGTCCTGGTACCATCGATAAGTCGCACGTTTTGTGGCACGTTCAACCAAGCGTACAATTCGTGCTCCTTCCCAGCGATGTCCAGCCCAGGCACCAAGAGCAGTCTGAATACTATCTCTCTTCTCCTTTGGCCACTTGCCCTCACCACCGCAATCAGCAGCTTCGAGTTGCCGAAGAAAGTGGAAAAATGCTTGACCTTGTAAAGTTCCTCGACCCCATGTTGACCCTTCTCTTAGTTGTTTCGTAACAATATCAACGACTCGTTTCATTAGTCCTCCTCCATGTTTATTCGGATTTGCTTCTGATATCATTCCTTCATCATCTACATGCCATCGATCTCGTTTACCACCATCTAGAATAACCCCACCTCGTCCTTTCCAATCACAAACCGAATTCAAAGCATTCGAGAGACCGCAAACTGCTTCTGCAAAATCTGGACTTGCTTTTACAGCCCTTTTATAGTACTCTATTGCATCACTTGTACGCCCTTGATCTTTGACAGCATTTGCTAAATTCGCTAAAGCAATGTCAAACGTTCCATCGCAGTGTACTGCTTTCTCATACATCTTGATCGCAGCAGGGAGCTGGCCAATATCTTTGAGTAAGCTTCCTAAATTGGTGTAGAGATGTGCATGCCTTGAATCCAACAGTAGTCCATAGTTATAATAAGCAAGTGCTAGAGCAACACCGCTGCCAGGGATGACTCCAGGTATCGCGGTGAAACTCGTGGGATCTCGAGACGGAATTGGTCGATGAGCAGCCGGTTGTTGTACGCTTGCCAGAAGAATACCAACATTGTTAGCTGTTGATGGACTTGGTTGCAACGACAAAGATAGATAGTACAATGCGAGAATATCTCCAACTCCGGTAGGCATCTTTGAAATCCGATGAGATGTACTGTTGGACATAGCGTCTTGAAAGATCTTGGCTAAAGACAACAGAGAATTACTGGTAGTAGATACGGCAGCTTTTTGAGCCAAACCTGGAGGAATATATCGAAGACCAGGAAGTTCACCGTCTTGACCGGCAAATACCAAGGATTTAGTCTCCAAAGCTTTATCGGGCGGTAAAAGTAGGGGTGGTTGATTTGATGTCGAGGCATGGAGAGAGGGGAGCCCGTTGCGCATTCCAAAAAAACAGTTCGCGGATAAACTATGGATGATTCTGCGAATAAGTCCTTGTATTCCGCCTACCCCTTTTCCTGTACTTATGACGACTGCATCCTCGAAAGCTTTAGATGCCGCACTAACATCGCCGAGAGCGTACAACATATTGCCTTTGGCATGTATGAGGGCTAATATTCGGCCATTCTCAGATCCAGGTATTGCAAAACCACTTGAACCAAATCCAACTTTATCAGAACCATCTTCAAGCCTATCACTAAATGTTGAAGTAGCGTCCCTGTCGTCGTAGTCGACGATTGTATCAGATGCCGAGCTCACGAAATCATGATATTCTCGATCTGTACTACTCGAAGTCTCGCTATAATGATCATAGTGGTCATCCGATTTAGAAATCCGTAAAGAGCGTTCCACAAACTCGATGATAGCAACCGCTTCTTTGCCTCGATGATCACCACAAAGAAGACCGATGAGATGCTCGACGGCCTCAAAGTAATTAGGACGAAGATTAACAGATTTCCTCCAATTTGCCTCTGCTTCATCACGTCTCTGTAAACACAGAAGGGTAGCCGCCAGGTTTGAAATCGCTTCAACATGTCTAGCACCAAAATTAGCCGATACGTCCTAGTGATGGCAACATACAACATACCTTGGATCTATAACTATGATTTTCTCGTACCAGTCTCGCGCTCTATTGTAATCCTCTAACCCATAAGCAAGACAACCTCCCAGTAACATACCATCCACCCAGGTCCAGTGACTTTCCTCGCAAAGACTCGTAAGGAGATCCAGCGCTTCTTGAGCGTTAGAAGGGGGAGATGCTGTGCTATGCTGTGAGGATGGAAAAGGAGGCACGTAATGTGGGGCTCCCATCACTTGATTCATAGACCGCGAGTATCTCCGTTCTGACGAATCCGTGAAACCATAGGAAGTACGTTGGCTGAGACTTGGACGATGACTTCTCGAAGGTATTGCCTTTTGAGAGTTCCCCGGTGAAGAAAAACTGGAGCTCGGCTGCCTCGGTGGTTTGGGATATATGACACTTTTGGCGTAGGATTTGGAGCCGTGAGATTGCCGATTTTGTCGATTCTCCCTCTTCGTTTGATGTAGATGAGCCAAGAGATCTACATAAATAGTATGTGCCCAGGAAAGAGTCTTTTCCTTGAATTGGGCATTTCCAGCCCTGCTCAGCGCTTGGACGGGAGCACCTGAAGGATCGGAGAAGATGACATTGCTGCTGCCACCAATTTGATACAAGTTTTGTTGCATAGAATCATATGGTTGTGAGTGATCATCCACCCGCATGAATGATGTATCCCTGTGAAGTGCTGGGTTGACATTATTGAACTCGGATGGCAGGAAAGGCTGCGCCCCTCCAAAGTATTCCGACCCATGCCTTACATGCTGGAAGCTATATCCTCCATACGTGTGGTCTCTGTAGGCCGCTGGTCGATAGGGGGTATAACTTCCGTCCGGCCAATACGGTCCATACAAGCCTCCATCATTTGATGCAGTGGGACCAGGGCCAGGCTGGTAAGCTGGCTGTCGCGCAGTTGGAACGGAGAATCCAGTTGGAGAGAAGTAAGAGTGGATTTGGTGCATAGGCGATACAGGACCCTGGGAATTGTAAAAGGTGTTCTGAAGAGGGGAAAACGATGTCCAATTCTGCGAAGAAGAATTATTTACTCGCTGATCAAGATTATTGAAATTATTGGGCAAATTGAAGGTCCATCCAGAACTCGCCATACCATTCAACCCATCTGAGAATGTTGAGCCTCCCGGGGCCTCAAGTACAACGTGCTTCAAAGCAGGTGCCTTGCTAGACCACTGCACAGGAGTTCCATCATACCCCGCGGCTAGTGTACCATTTGGTGTTTTCCGCCTCAGCATGTGCTCTCCACCAAAGTCTTGATCTGATAAACTGCGACCAAGAGCCAGAGGTCTCTGGTATTCATTGCTATCGACCGGGTATGCGCGATGGAGAGGGGAAAGCGTGGATGAGGAGCTGAGATTTCTCGAGGTTCGATATGGTAGGGGCGCGGGTCGATCTGCTCTTCCACTCTGCGCGGAAGATTCGAACGAAGGGTTTCCATATCCCGGCGTCGCGCCCAACTGCTGCGGAGGATAATGTCGAGCGACTTGAGGATTCATGTTTCATTACTTTGCAGATTTTAGTACTTTGAAAATAGCAAACGGGTATATATTGCAAAAAATTGGGGCATAAAATGGAGCTGATGGTTGATTCATTAAAATCAAGGTGTGCCAATGCCTGCACGTAGGAGGGGAACCGTTTCTCTTTTGCTCATTTCTGCTTGTAATATGCAGTAGCCCGAGGGCTGTAAGTTATCTCGACGGCGCGACGGTAACCAGGTGTTTGTCTATAGAGCCTTTCCTCGAAGCATCGAAGTGCGGGAGATGGTATCTAAATTTGTTGATGAGAAGCCCTGAGGGCCCTGCGAAACGGCCGAAGTGGAGCTTTTCCTGCGTGCGTAGTGGGTGAAAGTGGTGCAGGTGTGCAGTGTGCAGTATAAATGATGCTGATGCGTCGCAAGGCTTATCGTAACCAAAGCTTTTTTTAATGAATACGGATATTGGGGAAATTTGACGGGAAAGGTAGTGAAGCGATAGGCAAAGGTCAGAGCAAAAACTAGGTGTAAAAAGGCAAAAAGTGGGATTATTAATAAAGAATGTCTGGTGGTGAAGAGGAATGATCCTTTGAGGAGAAAGGGTGTCTATATTGAGATCATTTTTTGTTTGGTATTTTTATTATTTTTTATATTTATTTATTTATTTTTGGTCTCTGGTTTTTGATTTTAAGGAAGTTTTGAAGATGGGATGTATTTAGTAGATCGGTTGGGTTGTGTTGATTTGGGTTTGAGTTAGGATGGATGGATGGGTGGATGGGCTTGGTGGGCTTGGGTGGGTTTTGGTCGGGATTAAACTTCAATAAAGTTGCAGAGTAGAGTAGATGGAGTGAAGTTGTGGAGCTGCAGAGATATAGAAAATGCAGAAATGCAGCAGAGTTTTGGTTAGGAAGGGTTAAGGTTACAAAAGAAAACTTTGCAACTGCAGATAAAATCTAAGTACTAGTAGGTATGCAACTGTATTAGATGGTCTAAAACGTAGGAGGCAGACAGGAGACAGTATATCGGCAGTTGAGAATCAAAACCTGAATATTGAATGAATCATTGAAAGCTTCCACCGAATAAAAATGAATAAACCTAGTAGGTAAGACGGTAAGAGCAATATTACAAATATTACAATACTACAATATCACACGGATACAGGAGACAGGCATTTTAAAATCATGTTGAGTTGAGTCGGATCCAATCCTGCAAGAAATGAGAAAAAGAGGGCAGAGCACAGGTAAAGGACAAGGAATGCTAGAATACTATCAAGGAATTGATCCAATCATATCACCATACGGGAGCAAGCCTTGAAGCGCCTCTCAGCTACAGTTTGGTACTACTACCCACTCACACCAAGAAAAGCCCCTTCAAATCTTTCTTCGCGCGTCAGCAGGAGTAAGCATAACACAGTACGGAGTATACGATTCTTCACTGCCAATCTACGAATGACAGCTAGCTACCTCTACACCTACCTCTACCTAGAAATCAATCCAACATGAAGAACCTCCATCTACAGGAGAATTCCTCTATTGTGTGTGTCTTTCCGACTCTAACTGGTCAAAGAAGCTGGAACACATTGCTTCAACCTGCTACTTGTTAATATCACGATTCAAGATATTCAAACTACTCTACTCGGCCAAAAGCAAAATCATGGCGCCTCGGAGCCGTAGAATGCCATCCCAACCCCTCCACCCATCATCGACCATTAATGCACTCCCCCTGTTGTGATCACCACTGCACAGACCAATGAGATGGCCATACAACCCAATGCGTGTATGCATTCCGAATGATATAACTACTATCTGTAGAGATGAGTATGCAGTCACAAACTGAAGGCGAACTTTCGAATAGCCGGACAAATCAGTCCATTGTTAATCAGGTTTTTATGGACCATTACAACCACTTCGGAAGAAGGATATATGTTGTAGTAACTAGCTCGGCCATTCTTCTCTTTCTTTTGAGATTATGCTGATATTACAGATCGATTCATGACCCTGAGAGGAATTACTGGACCGAGGGTCGACAAGTATTGCCGTTATCGTCCTTGTAAGAGGTGTAGGTTCTTTGCCAGGGCGTTTGACGAATACTGCTGGCTAGTGCCAGTATCGACGCATCCCACTCGAGAATACACGGTGGTCGCTCTCCTGTTTACTTTTGGGCATTCTCATATACTGGGACATTCACATCAATTCACGCGTAAGTTAACTGTAAATCGAGGAATCACCATGTATGAGATAGCAGATTGGTTTGTTGAATCATTGACATTGCTCCCCCAGCCTATTGTGAAGTATGTAGCCCATGAAACATTGCGAATAACGAAGTTAATTTTTATTTATTCCGAGGGGACTAATCAAAGGGTTAGCAAGAGGACCGCGAAATTTCCAAGCAATATTACTCACTCTCGATCTCTCCAGACTCGATGTCGTCGCTGACATCCTTTGGACTTCTTCCATCAACCTGGCAACCAACAGAGAAAGCGGTACCCAAGATCTCCTTGACGGTACCCTTCAACTCCTTTGCGAGAGACTTGAATCTCATGGTTCTGGCGATCTCAATAACCTCATCGAGGGTAATGGACTTGCTGTGCTTGATGTTCTTCTCCTTCTTACGGTCACGGGGAGGCTCCTTAAGGGCCTTGATGACAAGGGAAGAGGCGGATGGAACGACGGAAACAGCGGCTTGACGGTTTTGGATGGTGAGTCTAACAGTGACTCTCAATCCTTTCTACATAGCACAGATCCATTAGTTTTCGCTCCCAATCATATCCATTGTGTGCAGTGCGCATACCCAGTCTCCAGTGGCCTTTGCGATATCTTCTCCGACCTTCTTTGGTGACAAACCGAGAGGACCGATCTTAGGAGCCAATGCTGAGGAAGCACCGACTTCACCACCAGTGGCTCTCAGGTGGCTATTAATTTATCGTTAGCATGATTTCGGTACGGGAGATTGAATTTCGAGGTTCGCATTTCGCATCATGTTGCTGATGTTGTTGAAGGACTTTTGATTTTTGTCGTGAGGGCAACGTACATGATCTTGATCTCATTGGGGTCCAACTTTGGAGCTAAATTGAAATTGTTAGTTACAATAAATGATCATGGAGACGGATATTGAGAACCTACGCATGGTGACTGTGAAATGGAATCGGTTTGGTGGGAATGGTGTCGACGGTTGATTCTACCAAGATCAAAACTCTTCAATTCACGGAAATTCTTCAAATCTGGATGTGTGGGAGAACTTTCGGTTAACAAAGCTAGTCTCTTTTTAGACAAGGCTGGCGGCCTGGAGGAATATAAGTTTGTGCCTGACCGGGAAAATCGCGGGGTCAACAAGGCTGATTAGATATGGGGAGAGGTCACTGGGAACTTGTTATTTCTTTTACATTAAGATTCAAAAGTCACTTAGTCATTTTCATAGTTGCACAATTGTTTTTGATGATCTAATAGCTATTATTGTTATACCTAATCAACATCGCAATCAAGTGAATGAAATTATGGAAATCTCATCGCAAAACTGCGCCACCAACGCTCCAAATACCCATCCCTCCATTTCTTTTTGATAGAATTACTTACTCATCATCAATTCGTTCCGCTTACAGCCAACCTGCGAGAGAAGAGGGGTCAGCTTGGTGCTCTGTGGATAAAGATTAGGGTGAAATAACTTACTTCATGAGATGGTCCATGAAAGTTTGCAGGGAGACGTCGTCAGTAAAGATTGTTTGTGCTGTTTGAGCACCCACTCCACCATATGCACCCGTCGTATGTGTAGTGGATGGATTAAGTTTTGACAACAAGAAACGTGCTTGAGAGCCACCAGCATCGCAAACGATGAAACGTGGCAGAGGGAATCGGTCGGTAATCAAATCCTAAATTGGTTAGTATTCTGTGATTTCAATTACATGTGACGAGGAGTACTTACCCTAGCATCCTCTTTTGGTTGTTCGAGAAGAGCGGCGAAATTCTCATAACCTTCTTGATCTTGATAGCCTGCTTTCCTCCATTCCGCAACGGTCTCTCCGTGGAATATCAGGATGTGGAAGAATGTATCCAAAAGAAGAATGTGAGTTGGCTGAATGGAAGTGGAATCGAGTAGTACCGGTTGGCTACCATCTTGGTCGAATGTGTACGAGTCAAGAGTAGGTTGTATCATAATCAAGGAGTTGCTGACATCCTCATGATTGAGTACATGTCTATAAAATGCAGTCTCATCAGGCGAGTTATTGAAAACTTGCAAGAACTGACTTCTCCTGAGATGAAACATGAATTGTGGGTAAAGTGTGAAGTTCTTCTCAAGTCGGAAAGATGATGGGTCATCCTTTCGATAATCGGCGAATCTCGAACATAGGCGGATGAGCATTCTATCCACCCATCGTAAAACGTCTGGTCCATCATCAACTTCGGCTTTGAATACAGCAATTCTAGACATCAAAACTGCGGCCGCTTCTTGATCGAATGATTGTGCAATGGCTGGGTCTCCGGCTGGTCCACTCAGGTTACGCGAGATTGTCGTTACACGGAGGTGGAATTGGCCCGAAGAATGCTGATAGTATGTAAGAAATTGCATCATACCCTTTGCTTGGGCTTGGTGTTGGGCAGGGCCAGCTTGACCAGCAATTTCAAAGTAAATTCCGTAGCTAGAGTTGGGGTCGATACCACACATCTTCCATGAACAAGTATTGCCAATACCGCACTCTGTTTCTCCCACTGAAGTAGACTTCTTGTTCATTGATACCGCATGACCGATCAAACCAGTGACCTTCAATTCTTTCGTAGTCAAAACTTCCAAGGAAGCATTGAAACCCATTAATAGATTATCGTCGCCGTCTTTCTCAAAGACACGGACGAATGACTGCTTGAACATAGAAGATGTGAAACTATCCGTCAAGATCATATGACCACCAGTCGAGTTTGAAAGGCCCTTCATCTCAAGGAGACCGACTTGATCTAGACATCCGGCAAATATGTCTATGATGTGTCCGTTGTGTGCTGTTCTCTTGGCTAGATTGTCGTAAAACTGATTCGTTAGAATTAAACGTGAAAAGGATTAGTTGACATACCTTAAGAGCCTTCTTATAATATTTGATGTTGTCTCTGTCGATATCATGATGAGATCTGATGGGCTCCCTCAATTCGGGACCAACCACCAAACCAGGACCTTCAGTAGCAGGACCGCCTGCGAAGAGCATAATACGACCACCAGCATTCTGGAATGAAGTCTCTAGTAGTCCAACCGCCACACTCAACGCTACACCAGTACATCTTAGGTTTCTTCTGTCATTCGCGACCGGCCATGGATCCTTTTGTAATTGCTCGAGAGCCTTGGTAAGCTGGAATTCGCATTGCTGAACGGGTAGCAAGAATCGAGCAGCGGGTCCCATTGGGGGCATTGGTTTACCAGGTTGCGGTTGTTGCATTCCAGGTCTCAATCCAGCCGCCGAAAGTCCAAGCATCTCCTGGATTTGCTTGGCTGTGTAGTCCTTGCTGCCTCTAAACACATATGATTTTGGACATTCCGTATAGCCAATTTCATGTACTTGCGCCTAGGAAGGAAAGGTTAGTATAAAAGACTAAACTCGAGATTCGAGAACATCAATACCATAGTTCCAAATGTAACCAAGCCGACCAGTGCATTTTCTGGCAGGAGACTCAAGCTCATCACAAGAGATTCCTTAAGCGCAGATAGACTGTCCTCCTCTTGACACGTATCCACGACATAAAGGAAAATGGGAGGACTTGGAGCTGGTCGCGAAAGTCTGTACTCGATCGTGGTATTCGCAGGGTGAAGTTCGGGGGGGATTGCCGCGGGATTTATGTCTTTGTAATGAGGTGGAAGAGGGTTTCGAGACAGGCAGAATGGACAGATCCAAAGACGTGCCCTGACATCTACTTGACTGTTGACAATGAGCTCGGTCCGAAAATGTACTCCCAGGGCAAGACTTACCAGAAAGGATTCAACACTGATCTACATGGCTGTTTGCAGATGACTGGTTCGAATTGTAAAAGTGGTGTATCTGGTTTCTCTTTAAGAGGCGTATAAAGTGCGCCGATAGGGACAACGAGCCTCGAGGCTTCCTATATTGTATAAGTTCGTATACCCCGCGAACTGAAATCTGCTTGACGAACCATGCGAGAGCTTGGGAAAACATTCCAACTAAGCCGAACTCCATCACGATCCTCCACTTCACTCCATTGCTCCTTCAAAGCTTCGATATCCATCGTGCGCAACCCTTGAAGCTGTTTATTGAGTATTCTAGATTCGACCGGCAGGAATGTGGGATGAATGAGAGCGGCCTGGGAAAAAGTGACAAACACTCAGATGCTAGGCGATCCCTAATAAGTAGGAAATCAGAGAGTAGGGGAATTAAACAATTTCGCTTTGAAAGACAAGAGAATGTATTTTAAAGGTTTGTTGTATGTCTCCAGGCTTGTTTGGATAATGATGCCAGGTAGTTAAAGACTTACCTAATCACGGTGTTTCCCCAAAAAAAATAGCCGAATGACAAGTAGCCTTGCCGAGAATGTACAAATACCATCTGCTCGAGTACAACATATATGGATTTCTAGCCTGATTTCCTAATTTTTCTGGATGACACGATTTTGGGATGGTATCACCGTCTATCATGAAAACTCTCTAAAGGTCTTTCTTTTGTGGAAGTGGAAGTGGAAGTTGAAGTATAGCTTTACATTTTGATACAAAGCAAGGAGTGTGCCCAAAGGATGTCGAATATTCTACGTATAAAGATGATTGCAACAATCAACCAGCTTCAATCAAGTTCTACCCATCAAAATTCACCATCATGGTGAAGATATACAATTTCTGAGATTTGGCATGTGAACAGACCCCCACATTCTCCAGTTGCACCGAATCAATTCATTTATAAATCGATTCTATTTTAATCATTACAATTATTAGATGTACAATCCAACCTGAGATATCCCTGATGGTCAAATCGCAACGCCCGAGTACAAGTCGACCATCTTGGCTCCACTCTTTAATTCATAAGTCTCCAATATTATCTAATGTTATTTACATATGTAGTCCTCTTTGCCAAGATGCACCTGCTTCCAGGTCCACATTACTTCCTCCCTGATTTCGACTGAGGAACTCCCAGACGTTCCTTGGCTGCAGCAACACTTGTGACCTGACCCATAAGTCCGTGAAGCAGATCTTTGACGGCCTGCTTACTCTGGACGCCATGAGCACGCTCGGTCTCGTAGTTGTCATATTGAGTTTCCACCATATCTTCTAAGAGAGTGAACATTTCCATGACTTGTTGGACTGTAGTTCCCGTCAACAGGGGAAGGAGCATAGCCTCATATTCACCCATCTTGGAGGAGGAGAAGAAGCCATGGAATATGGTAGAAACGTACTCGAACCCTTTTTCGCAAGCTTCCTCGATAGACTCTTCGGCAGATCTCTTTTCAAGAGCTTGACGTTTTGAGATACCTGGGAACTGAGAGAAACCTGGAATTTCTGAGGCGCCTGGCAAATCCGAGAGACCAGGAAGTTCTGAGGAACCTGGAAACTCTGGGAGGCCTGGAAGACCTGAGAGACCTGGTAATGGGAAACCTGCGGCAGGGCCTTCAGAATCATCATCATCCGATCTGGATCCCAAAGATCGGCGGAGCTTGGGTTTCTCGGAAAGTTCTTTCCTTACGGCTTCGAACTGAGTATCAGCTTCACTTTTTAGCTCCTCGATCTTTGATTGGTGAGAACTAGTGGCTTTTTCGTGGAGAGCACTGTAACAAACATCCACGTTCTTTTGCAATTTTTCAAGTTCCGATTGAAAGTAAGACTGGTATCGTGTACCAGTAATCATACTTTTCTGTTCCATTCATTAGTACTGCGTTCAGATATTGATCATACGGTAGTGTCTCATGGGAGCGATAGAAAATGGTGAAAGGGAGAAGGAAATACTTACGCGTTCTTTGAGAGCTTTCGAAATCTGCACGAATTCTGGAGTAAGACGTTCCAAAGCAACTACAACCTTTTTGCTCTCACCCTCACCCAAAGGTCCCGATTGTTTCGCTGCCTTTTCGGCAGACTCGACCGAACTCTTGCAGGTCTTGAATTGTCTGTAGAGGTAGATGGACTCCAAGACTCCACCCTGGTACTTTTGACACATTTCTGTGACTTTGTGACCCTCGTCTACAATCTTATTGATTTTTTGACTAACAGACAGTGCTCTTGCATCAATGGGAGCAGAGCCGTCACGTTGGTTGATTGAAAGAGCATCTGAGCTCGGAGAAGGGCTTGCAATAGGATACGCAAGTGTAAGAGGCGCCAATAACAGGGCGGAAATGTATGAGAACCGCATTTTTCTGTATCGAACTAAGCTGCAAATGTGAGGTTAAGATGTTTTAGAGAAGTGTGGAGGAGAAGTACTGGAGTGAAGGAACAAGCACAATATATACCTGTACAGGTGACCCAGCCACTAGGCTGAGTATTATATCGTCATCGAGACTCTGAATGTAATCGAGCCTTCAGTTGTCATAACTAGTACAGTTTTCGAAGAGAGCGAAAGCCAGTGCAAATCTCCCCACATGGCCAGACCACACTAGATAAACAAGTGGAAGATCTATCCATTGTCAGGAATTGGATAGAAACTGGAAGTCTGCTTTGAATAATACAATTGCGTAACGTTGGGGGTAAAGCCTATCCAAAGTGCTGTTGGTGTTGTTGATATTCATGTCCAAGTGAACAAAGTACCTGTTTGCCAAGAGGCATAACTACACTAAGCGCTCAAGTCCGACTAATGACAAACTCAAAACCAGTTCTTAAACCGATTCTGCCGGTAGTCAACATTTGACATCTGCTAAAATGGAACCGTTCTGAATGAATGGCACTAATATATTTCAATGCCTTGTTATTTCTACGCTAAAATCGACGATTCAGTGGTTGGGCCACCAAGTCCCCCTCAATGGGACGATGCGTCACACAAGTATGGATCTACCAAAATATGTATGAGGAGCAACGTCCCTCTTAAAAGCCATCCGTCACTAAGCATAACATGGACCCCAGAAAACATAGATAACCCTAAATCAGTTTCCCCTGGCACTCACAAAATTCACAACCGCCATCTGGTTCTCCTCGATGATCATCGCTGGATCTTTGAACTGGTTTACAGCGGCAAAACTTGGAGCTGCTGCGTTTACCGGTAAGATTTGGCTAACGTTTGATACCGATGGTGCAGCATTGGGATCATACGTCTCAACGGAAGAGGAAGCCGGAAAGCCAGTGCCTTGAGGTAAAGACCCTGTTTGGGATGCACCATTGATAGTCATTTGTTGAGCTTGATGCACCATAACAAATTGAGTATCACGGGCTTGGTTATCTGCCTGAACTTGATGTGTCATATATCTAATGTTTTCGCTTGATGTGTCCCGAGCATCGACAATTTGAGTGACAACGATGATAATAGTGTTCTGGGGAATACATCAGATCAGTGCTTTTTTGTTCCCTTTTCAATGGAAGAACGTACCCGCTGCGAGTTCAAATTTCTGAAATGATTTCTCCTAACGTTATCTCGAGCAATTTGTGTTTGATCAATGATGACAAGTCGCTCTTGAACCAGCTTTGTGAGCTGAATTTCGCGTCCTCGTGAAACTTCCGTCAATTGCTCCTCTTTTGTCTTGGTGATAATGATCACATTGTTCGAGTTCGCTCGATGTCCCGAGCTTCTAGGGTTATACACCAAGCCTCTTTCAATATTCTCGGCAGTCTCCGGGACTGGGTGAGGATATGGGCCTGGACTTTGTTATTAGTGCTAAAATTTTAAGGTACTTTGATACTCACTTGCGATGCTCAAAGCAGCGAAGCTTAAAACCAATGATACCATCGTGCTGAAATGCATAGCGTGTATGATGTGTGAAGAATGATTAAATATCGATATTACTAAACGATATGGCAGCCTCTGGGGCGCTCGATGAAAGAGCGATGAAAGGATTGGGGTGAAAATGAATGTTTGCGAAAGAGTGACAGAAGATGCAATGTATGTAGGACTTACATGAATGGTCATCCGGCGAGTATTATACTAGAATCTCCTCCTTCGAAGTAAATAGGAGCCAGCATTCGGAATGATATACATCCGCTCAATGAGTACTTCACAGTTTGGCCAAGATATCTTTAATCACATTAAGCTCATAGCATCAGGAAATACTACTGTTCATATGAGTGTCATAATACTCAATGCACTCCATCCAGCGCTAATCCATGCTGCGGCGAGGTTAGTCCGTCCTGAATGCAGTCACTAGGTATAAAGCCAAGAGCTTTTGACAGGTGAAACCAGCCACCGACACCATCTGAAAAAAAAAACACCAGATGACAGAAGGGTTCAATAAAAGGTGTATTCGAGCAGATCTGTTCAATCAACAACGATGACCTGAGTACCGGTTTCGTGATGTAGTTAGATATGACAAGGTGTGAATGCTCCAGCCCCTGATCGGTTGCTCGTTTAGAGATCAGACAAAACACTGCTCGTTTGATCGCAGTATAAATGTGAGAGATAGTCTTATTAGCACAAAACTGTTATGCATGATACAATATGATAGAAACTTTAAGTTAGAAGTGTGAGGAGGATATATTCGAGTTAGAATAGGCAAAATCGAGAAGAAAGAAATGAACGACTAGTTGAGGCTTGCTTCAGAGACACGCTCCGTGTATGTAGCTTATTTTCACAACACATTGTGTCATGTTATGAAGAGCCAAAGACAGAGAACACTTGGCTCAGCCTTGATCTTGCAAAACGAAATCGTGACATTTACAGGCCCGTAAATCTCATCTGTGTTAAAAAAAAAAAGACGTCCGTCGAGACTTGGTTGATGTTATCTCTCGATGATCAAAATTTGGGATTGCCATGAGATCCTGTGCCTTCGCCTCTCAAAGAAATGGTGGTGTAGTGACATGACATCGAACATACGCCAGATTGAAGGGGAGAAGTGTGTTGGACTTTCGGAAACACGAGGAACTTGCAACTCAAAAGCATCGCTGTGTGTAGGAGATTCCCACATAATCATTTTTTGCCAATGCTTCCACCACCCAGTGTAGTTCTACGACCTCTCAGAATAAGCAATAAGCAATCTTACATCAGATGATTTAACGCCCGCAAAACTGTTGCTTAGCTGTTTGCGGTGGTAGGGAAAACGGGGGATAGATGTAAGGCGACAAGACTGCTACAGGAGAGCTAAAAACTATTCCCCGGTGAGGTACAAAAAACTCCTTGCGACAACTTCATGAGCTCCCCATAAGCTTATATACAGGAGTCAGTAAAATACCATGGCTTTTAGTCCTGAGTGGGGGAACATTTAATAGCAGAAAAGACAGATAAATCCGGGAGCCATCCAAATTCGACATGAAATGTTCATGATGCGATTTTCAACATTTTCATGTTAAGTCCTACATTTTTCTTATCAACGATAAAACTTCTCAATCCCCACCAATGAGTAAACCTAGCGATAAGTCCCCAAGCATCCCAGCCACGCACGTGATAAAACTAAGGAGCTTGGACTTTTCGCGTAAAAAAAAATCCCAAAATTTCACTCCAGAAAAATATTGCATCCAATTGACCCGTCGCCCAATATCTCGAATCGTCTGTCAAGTATTTTTTCGGCCTCATTACTTTTTTTTTCTGCACATCCAATTCCTAGATTTTAAAGCAGAAATGGCATACACACCAAGAGGAGGTGCTCGTGGCGGCGACCGTGGCGGACGTGGAGGTTTCGGCGGGGGAAGAGGTGGTGATCGTGGTGGTCGCGGAGGCTTTGGAGGAAGAGGTGGTGGTAGAGGTTCGTATTTTTATACTTCCATTGCGATTTTGATCTCAATGGTTCAATGCGCATGCGCCAATGCTTAGGATTTGACTTGCTAACTTTCTAAAAAGGTGGTGGAGACCGTGGAGGACGTGGAGGTGGCCGTGGTGGTGGAAGAGGAGCTCCTCGTGGAGGACGTGGTGCCCCAAGAGGACGTGGAGGTGCTGGTGGAGCCAGAGGTGGTGCTAAGACCATTGTCGTGAGTATATGAACTTCAATCAATGGCTTTCAATTGGGTTCTAATAACTTATTCCAGGAGCCCCATCGTCATGAAGGAATTTTCGTCGCTCGTGGTAAGGAAGATATGTTGGTCACCAAGAACCTTAGCCCAGGTGAATCCGTATACGGCGAGAAGCGCATCAGTGTCGAGAACGCCGGCCCAGCCAACGAGGATGGTACCCCAAGCACCACCAAGGTCGAATACCGTGTCTGGAATCCTTTCAGAAGTAAGATTGCCGCAGGTGTTCTTGGTGGTATGGATGAGATTTTCATCAAACCTGGTGCTAAGGTCCTTTACCTTGGTTCCGCTTCCGGAACTTCAGTTTCCCATGTTGCTGATATCGTTGGACCTACGGGAACTGTTTTCGCCGTCGAATTCTCCCACAGATCTGGCCGTGATCTTATCAACATGGCTACCCACCGCACAAACGTCATCCCAATTATTGAGGACGCTCGTCACCCACTTAAATACAGAATGTTGGTCTCCATGGTCGATGTCATCTTCGCTGATGTTGCACAACCTGATCAAGCCCGTATTGTTGGTTTGAACGCCCATTTGTTCTTGAAGGTTGGTGGTGGTATCTTGGTTTCCATCAAGGCATCTTGTATCGACTCTACCGCTGCACCCGAAGCTGTTTTCGCTAGAGAAGTTCAGAAGTTGAGAGAGGAGAGAATCAAGCCTTTGGAACAATTGACCTTAGGTGAGCTTTTCCTCCAATCAATCCACTTATTATTGTTCCAGAAACTAACCATAATTTATTCTAGAACCTTTCGAGAGAGATCATTGCATGGTATCTGGACGTTACGTTCGATCCTTGTAAACCTCCTAATCAGCCTCTTCCCTCGTCTATTTTATCACCACTACTCGCACATCAAGTCGCACTTCAGTAAAAACTCCATGGAAGTTTACCTTTCGAATACTTTAAATCGAAAATTCTGAATAACCGCTTCTTTGGCATGCCTCGTCACAAATTACTACGGATTCTCTCATGTTGGGTTATGGAAGGTTGTTTTATTTCTCGTCTTTAGTACTTTTTTTCTATTAGGTGTACATTCAGGTCCTGGCGTCCAGGTCTTCATTCTTCATCGCATTACTCAGTCAGTAGGTTGTTAAGAGAATGAGAGTAAGAGGAGAAAAATAAGAAAGTAAAAATTTGCCTAAGATTTTGACGTGCAGTTGATGCGATGCGATGTGATGTGACGTTGAATTATGATGGGGATGGGTAGGAACACCATTTATTTTTGTTTTATTTTATATTCTCATCTCTACATCTACCTACCTACCTAGGTAATATTTACAGTTCACTTACCCCCACTAGATCAAACTCGAATGATAGGCTCATAGGCTCATTGGGTAAATTGGGTAAGTTATTTGGGTATATAAAATTCCACATCCACATCCACATCCAGATATCAATATTCAATATTCAATATCGATTCATATATAGTCTCCTTCTCTTCTTTCCTGCCTTCCTCCCTTCCTTCTTTCCTTCCTCCTTTCCTTCCTTCCTTCAATCCATATTAACGCACCGCACCAGCTCAGATTTACCCTAGCACATAGCCGTATAGCAGTATCGTATCGGACATCAGGTACCATTCCATTCCATCATGGGTTTCGAATTTCCGCTATTCATCCATATTCTCGGTGGGTGGGGGGAAGAGAAGAGATGAGATGAGGATGTATTGGTATCCATGCATCTATCCCTGGTTAATTCCTGGCCTGGTATTGAAGATGCTCCACGTCTGGGATTATTTTGTTGGAATACTTTGATGTTGAGATATCGATACTGGTATTCTCATTCATACAAAAGATTTCATACAAAAAGAGCGGGTTTGTCCTCTAGTTTTCTTTCTCTCCCTTGGTATATACGCTTCTGCTCCATCTATTTACCGATCCTTCCTACACCCACCACACACCAATAGGCCAATTCCCTCTTTTCCCTCGCATCCCTATCGCCCATCCCCCCCAATTTCCCTGTTCCGTCTCCGTCACCCGCTGTATCTGCTTCCCACTCTACTCTAACAAACAGGGCAATCTCACACACATCTGCATCTTCTTCTACTCTTTCCTTCTGTACCTCTTCTTCTAATCTCCTCTGTTGTTCTAAGCCGGATAATTTTGTTTTGAGTTTTCCCGGTGTGACTTCGACGACTACACTTGTCCAGTTGCGGCCTTTGTCCCAGGGCTTACCGTGTGCTTCGTTAGTGAGGTCGAGGCTTTGCATGCTGCTATGAGTGGCGGTTGAGTGTTTGCGGTCATGGTTCGATGAAGAGGAATCTTGAAGGGCTTCGTCCCACATATCTGTGTTGGCTCCGACGTCGAATTGGGGACAGAGAAGGATCACTTTCGAGGCGTGGCGGTCAGTGGTGAGGCCTTTTGTTGCGAGTGATATTTTGATGGGTTCGAAGAGGGGGTTTTTGAAGGTTAGGAGAAATTGGGTTGGTCTCAGGGGCGTGAGGATTATCGAAGTGGGGGCAGGAGTAGGGGCGGGAGGGGGTTGAAGAGGGGAGAGGCTAATGGAGGGGACATAGGATAGGGCTACGAGGCGAATGCGGAAGCGTGTGGTTGGGACTTTCGATTCGGGTTTGGAAAGGATATGACGGCAGGTGCGGCAACGTTTGGAGCGTTTTGTGCGGAGGAGGCAGGGAATTGGACGTAGGGAATCGAGGAACCGCGTTGAAGGGGATATTTGGCTTGTTCTCTGCTCAGTGGTAATTGTACCTTCCCAACCTTCCTTGAGAAGTTGTGACACAGCTATGGATTCGGCTTCGGAATCATAGATTTGAAGGCCTTCAGTTGAATCTATTGCTTCTCGTATGCTCGCAGCTTTAGATCTTGTTTTTCTGTCGCCAAAACTTCCACCTGTGTAGAGACCCATTATTCTAGTTAATGCTCCTGGTGATCCGTATCCATAATCATTCGAAAACCCTAGCGCACTACTTGGATTTGAATCTGCCAATTGATTCTGGTAGAAAGACCTTAGGTTCGCATATTGACCTTCTATGTCGAGTTTCTCGTTCGGGTCGAAATGCTTCTCGGTGACTTCGTCCGCCTCTTCCAGGATCGTTTCTGTAGCCAAAGATGACCGCCTTTCCTCCATATCTCGACGACGATCTTTTGCACTTATTAATGACTCACCACCATTCTTTATCTTGGATAACTGTGAGTATACGGAGTTTGGTTTCTCAAATCGTATGCCAATTTCGGTCGAGCTCCACATGCAGTATGCGCAATGGAGGATATAGGGTGCTGTCGGAGATGGGATAGGAACATTGTATTGTTCGCCAACTGGCGCTTCGTTTACTGAGAGAGGTGATATACATATTGGACACTGAAAACATGATCTTGTGCATCTAGTAGTTTGTGGTGCCATGTTAGCATCTAGGCCCATCTCAAAAATTGACCAGGAAATAAAAATAGTAGAGCCATGTATATACCTGTTACCCTCACTCTTCACTGTACTACTTGGCACCTCAAATAAACAGCTCGGACAATACCAGGTAACTATCTCATCTAAAACACATCTCGAACATCGAATTTGATGGCAATCCTCACAGTACAGAAGATGTTCTAGCGGATATAAGCTATAGTTCGCGCGTGGAGCTCTCGGATCAAACGTCCGTTCTTCTTCAAGAGATGGAGATCCTGGGGGCGTAGATGAATTTGCAAGAGTGGATGTATCGGAACAAGGACATTGAAAATATGTGTATGGCTTGAATGTCGACATGATTGAGTATGGGATTCTAAGGCTCGATAAGGTGGGATATTTGGAGAGGGGATGAATAATATTTGACAGGGGGCAGGGAAAATAGATGATCCGGTTAAAGCTTGTTTTCTGAGCTAATAACATAACATGGACGGAAATGTGGGAAGCGTGGGAAACTTGGAGGGAGGTTAATTTCCCATTACCTAGGTACCTACCTAGTAAACCTACCTGGAAGAAAATAAAAACATCACATCACTTGGATGCATCTCTCGAATCTAGATTCACCGATTCACAATCTTCATAAACTTCATTCTCTCTCCATTCACTGTAGGATTGTACCTGCTAGGTAGTCTTGTTTATGCTTCATCACCCTCATGCCATCGTTACCAGACGCTCTCTTTTTCCTAATTACATCCACAAAAGCTTGTTCATCACACTTGTCACATCCATCCTGTATCTGCTTTTAACTTTTTTAGAGTCTCCTCAACATTCTTACGCGGGCGCTTCGCCAGGCTTCCTTTTTGGTAAGCATTGGGCATTGATGTTGGATCCTTTCCTGCCATTCAATCTGTTTATCTACTCTGGACATCGAACCATGAACCATCCCGAATTATAGCGTATAGAGTTATTAGGTGATGAACCTTGGAAAGAAACAAATATTTCTAAGCAATCAATTCTCTGTTCAGCTTGTGGATCTCTGCACTCATCTCTTTTTATCTCTCTCTCATTTTACTGCAGCTGCAGCATCACACCCACCCATCCATCCATCACCTTCGGAAGATAACAATGAAGGTTGCCCGCATCCTTGCACCGGCACTACTAGGTTCTCGTCAACAAACCACAAGCTTCAGCCATCCATAGGTACATACAATTCAAGGTCAGAGCCGAAGCAAAGTAAACAATAAACAGAACCGTGCGGGAAAACGGAGTGCACGCTTCACACAAATTACTTTTGATCCATAATGCAAACAATCTCACGCTCACAATCTCATTGTAAGATTTGATCAAAAGAGAACATCCAACTCTAATATTGTATTGTTACATTTCAACATCTGAGAGTAGCATCTCCACACCAATTGACATACCAAATTGCGACACTCATTTTCGTCTTATCGCTCAGGTTGCCCTATCAACTGACAGCACATTTCAATACCCAATGGTCATTTGAATTCTTGGAGACTCCCATTCTGCCATTCTGCCATTCAGGGTAAGTAAATGAACATCGGCGCATAAGTAACAATTCGACAACAGCCTTTATGTATGCCAATAAGGAAACTTACTTCGATGGTGTAATACGATATCCAACCTTCTGAGTCGCCGCATGTTAAAGTTGGGAATTGGTCTTGATCAAGGTGCGCATCTAATATTCTTTCCGAAGACGAATTTTACCTCATAATTCATTTTCGCGCAACACATCTCATCACTAGGGCTGTGAGGGAGCCACTGACACTATGGGACATATTAGACCATGCCTTCCCCCGAACCCGACACGGATGAGATAGCACCGCCCAAACCCAAGACTCCGACTGTCCCTCAAAGGACGTCTCCCAAAAATACTCCCAATGGCGCATCTAATCGAAAGCCGGCTGTTAAGCCACGGAGTCCCGCCAGCGTACCAATACACAAGCGACCACTAACGAAGAAGGCGGAGCCGACGTTGCTTAGTGATTTTCTGCTGGGCAGACCAACACCAAGTCGCCAAAGACGAAAAAGTCTCGACGCAGTCAAGGCCGAGATGCGCGAGAGTACTGTAAATAGGATTCAGAAGCCAGGAGGGGTACATGATCGGGTTAAGCAGTGGCAAAAGGCTAGTGCAGCAGCTGTCATTGAAGAGGACGATGATCCAGAGTCTGTGCTGGATGAGATAATAGTGGAAGTGGAGGAGGATAGTGTTGTTGGGCCCAGTGTTGTAACCGAGGACAACAGGCTTCATGTCAGGAATCAGAATATCCGGCCTGGTCGACGGAAAAGTAGGGATCCTGAAAGTTGGGCCGCAGAAGTAAGGAGCAAGAGTGCGCCGCGCAAAAGAGTTATAAGCGATGATCATTGGGTGATAAATAAGAACAAGACCTCTCCGAAGAAAAGAGAAATCAAAGTGACGACGCGTGCTATACCCAAGGACTTTCTCAAGCAAACGGCTGCCAATCCCAAATTGGACAGTAAAATCGCTGATTGGGTGAAGCGTACGGAGGCTGAGCCGAAGAGCCATGGAGCGACCCAATCTGCTTCACGAGTAAGCAAGACTCCACAGCCAGAATTTCGCGGGGGGAATAGAGGGAAAATGAGGGCCAAGTCCTTAGGGGAGATTATAGTTGAGATTGAGGAGGATCCAGACCAGAAACCTGCAAAGAACGGATTAATAATCGAGTCGAGGAGCAGCCCAAGCTCACGGAAGGCTTCGAACAACGGATCTAAGGAGAGCCTTATTAGTTCATCAAAAGGAAAACAGATTCCTAAACCAGAACCATCCAGAACTTCAGCCAACGATTTCATTCGAGTCAAGCCATGGGGGCAAACTGGGCGATGGGAGGATGGCAGTCGAGCAAGGCCTGTTCAGGCGAGATGGAGAACTGCAGAGGTCAAGAAACAGAGTTCCGGGAGTAATCCATTTCTCGATGGTATTAGCTTGAAGCCAGTACCCGTTCATAAGGACGACAAGCAAGCTTCTCTAAAACCAGAAAGGTCAGATGAACATTCGCTTCATAAACGTAAGTCATCAGAGAATCATCACAAGCCAGCAAAAGAGACCGAAATCAAAGGTTTGCGCGGCCATTCTGATGGCGAACTCGACCATGCGAATGCGCACAACCCTGCTCGTCGTTCTCCAAGCTCCAGAAAACATACAAGGAAATCCCATTCGCCTTCCCGGTCTGTGGATGAGATTCCCTTTGGCGATTCTGCTTTCAGTACCCTGGATCTCCCTATCGGTGCCGAGGCTGGCAACACTGGTAATAAACCTAAATTCCAGAGGAATCCTAGTCATCTAGTACCCAAAGTCCTCAAACGCGTCTACAATGAAGGGAAGAAGATTATACAGGATACGCATGAGACTCCCGAAATGCCTCCAAGAGGTGGTGTCAATCAGCCTCCAACAATTGAGTCTTGGCTCAATAATACCACAGATCCTTTTCTTGACGTGCCAAGCCCTATTCCAACTCCAAAGTTGCCGGAAGAATCTACGAAAGACGATGATAATAATGAGAAGTATACTTCCAAAATTGACCAAGATCCGAAACAATCACTCGAAGAGGAACGTAAAGGAGCGGGAAGTAGACAAAAACGTGTGCGAAAGGCTTCAGATAACAGCTTCAGAAGCAGTAACGATAAGTCACCTCTGGGCCGTGTTTTGGATGATCCGATTGAATTCAAAAAGCCTCCCACTCCACCAGCAGCTGGACTCCGAAGAAGCCCAGCTCTACGCACGGCTTCTCCTCCCGTAGTCAGGTCTACACGTAAATCACCTCTTAAGGATGCTTTGCTAGATGCATTCCGAGGTGAATCTACATTTGAGGGTATTCTAGACCCAGAAGATGATGATTACGACCAAGAAAAAGGAAACTATGATTTAGACGACTTTAAGAATTCGAATCGTGGATTAAAGACACCCGAGAATGATAACTCGCGACGCAGTCGTTCATCTGGTACGCATCTTGAAGTGCCGAGCCACCATCGAGATATCTCGGACAGGCCTAGAAGAAAGAGAAGGAGTGGACACTCTGGGGACCATCACTTATCAGCAATTGCATCTGTTGAAACCTTCAGCACTCTTTCGTCTCTAGACACTTCATCCAATCTTACTAAAACTACTCTTACACAAGCAACTACTCAGACCGGGCGGTCCGACTCCAACGTCTCACGCAGGAGAAGCAATAGATCCGGACTTAAAAGAAGACTGACGAAACATTCTGACCTAGTATCTATGCTATCCTTGCCCGATGCGCCATCAAATAGCCGAACAAAAAGTATCAGATCAGCTCGAAGTGTGCGTACCGCTCGAAGTAATTTAGAGACTGCTACCGAACGGGATTTGATGCGTGAATTGGCTGGTGATGAGGTGAAGTATATGAGAGAGTTAAAAACGTTGGTTGATGGGGTGATCCCAGTACTTCTCACTTGCGTTCTCTCTAAATCAGATTCGGCCATTGCTGCTGGCCTCTTCAACCCCGACGCTACAGACATGAATGAAACATTCCTCACCAAACCAATTGTTGACATGGGTGTTGCTCTCGAGCGTCTGAAGAGTTTACACAAACGCATACCACTTGAGGATCCAGATGCTCTTATAGTCTGGCTTCAGAGAGCTCATCGAACTTATCAAGACTACACTCATGCTTGGAGATTAGGTTTCCAGGATGTTGTTGTGAATCTAGCACCTGCTTCTCGCACAGCATCGGCAGAAGAAAAAGAGGGCTCATCACTTGACAACATCCCACGCAATGCTGATGGGGATATTGTCAACTCGAATGGTGAACGTGTGGATGTTGCTTTCTTACTCAAGAGACCCCTCGTGAGAATAAAATATCTTGCGAAGTTAACAAAGGTTTGTCTTTCGGTCCTCTTATCACTTTTTCCCTAGGTAAATGTTATTGGCTGTATCCTAACTCATTATAGGGCCTCGACAAACTCAACCATTCGGAACTCTCAGGCAAAGCCCTGAAGACATTTGAAAATTTGCAAGAAATGGCCCGCCGTCGTGTTAAAGAAGAACATGCTAGACTCGAGGATCTCTATGCAAACAACACCGACGCAAGTCGAGCTCGTAACCCCCAAACACTAGCTCCAGTTGAGGATGTTCATATTGATCGTACCAGACAAGTCTCGGCTAAAGATTTCTTCGATTTCGATTTTCCACACTCTAATGGCCAACGAATTGAGTGCCGTGTAGAGTTGATACTCCGGGATAATCTTTCGGATGAGATCGATCCAGGAGATGTTCTGATCTGTGCATCAGAGATCACGCCGGAGGCTACACATCGCTACTTACTATTTCCTCCCATTAACAGAGATTTTATATCCGCTTGCCCCGGTGAGAAACCTGGTGAGGTGATAATCATGATCCGAGGTATACAAAGACCCATAGAATGGCGAGAGAGTCTGCTTCTTAAGGGTGCTGAGCCTGATACTGCAGCCGAGTGGATTGAAATGTTAGGCTCTGTCCCAATGCCTCAACCAATTTTGAGCTCCATACCAGATAACACAGATACAGTATCGATGATGTCTATGGATCCATCCGAGATAAGTGAGGCAGGCGATCCTTATGATAACGACCTGCCAATTGGTGCTCGCCGAAGAAGAAGAAAGCATCATTCGAAGGAGAGACCACGATCTACAACCTTTTCTACCATGTCGTCTGTTGAAATTCCAGCGCCCCTGAAAATAGATCGCAAAGAAACATCATCTCCATCACGAAGACATCGAGATGTTTCTCTTGACGAGATAACTGGTCAATCACACATGAGACGTTCCAAATCATCAAGACATCATTCTCATACGCGTACTCGATCTACACCAAGCTCGCCTCTGTCAAGCCAACTTATGCTTGAAACCTCGGACGATGAAAGCAGGGGAAATGATGACTTTGATGAATTTGGAAGTCGAGCATCTACACCAGGCAAGACATCTCGCCGACCTCTTACGCCATCTGAAGAACTACCTTATATCCCGAAAGTTCGCAAAACAAGCTCTGCTGCTTCGATTGATAGCGCTTCTACCACAAAAGACAACATTCGACGCCAATCATATGACACAATAGATTCTCATGGAACATCTACACGGTCTCGCAGCCCAGAACAAACTGAAGAGGACAGTGCTCCACCGCCTCCTCCTGCCCATAGATCGATGTCGCCTAGCGGTCTCAAGCAACCAGTGATTATTGAGCCCCCCGCACCAAATTCAAGATCTCGACGCACTTCCTCTCCACTAAAGCATGAATATCGACCTTCTGATATATCCGATGTATCAGAGAGATCTGAGGTGTCTGAAGAGGTTTCTGAAATCTCCTATTCATCATCGGAAGAATCTGATACAGAAGAAGAAGAGTCAACATCCAGTTCTGATGAAGATGAACTCGATGAACTTGATGAACTTGAAGCTGCTGATCTTCCAGAGGCAGAGCCCGCTCCAACTATTTATGGTAGACGTGCTATTTCACCTACCACCTCTCTTTATAGTCTGCCAAATGTTACTCTGGCACCTGTGAACTCCACACCTCGAATTCCGATTGTACACAAGGTCGACAACAGTGATATCAGAAGACACGTTGCTACTGTCTCAACCTGGAATAATGCTAAAGGCCGTTGGGACGATGTACATGCGAAATCTTGTTCGATTATTATCCGTCCCGGATTAATTGAAGTATATGAAATGTCATCTAGACATTCCTCCCCTGCAGTACTCTCAACCATTCAAGAGTCCGTAGTAGAAGGTTCAGACGACACAAGTAAAGAGGACAAACGGCCATTGCTTGGCCAGGTACTGACACCCGTTGTTACACTCAGGCAAAGCAACTCTCTCGATATCGAAATACATTCTCCCCCGACAACTGACTCGCGAGTTAAATGCAGCCCTACAATCAGATATCACAGCTTGCACAATGCTGCATGTGTTGAATTATACAATTCAATTCACATGGCTCGCATGAATAATCCAACATATAAGAAGCTTGAAGAAGAACGACTACTCAACTCATATGGGGATGCACCTTACGAAACTGCAGTTGCCAGCAAGAAACGCAGCTTCTTAAGTTTTGGTCGTAGGAGGAGCTATCGTGCATCAACGCGTGCACCATCAGTTGTCAACTCGGATCAAAGTAGCTCCCCATCTATTTCACGTCTTTCCGAATCTTTCAAGAGATTAACCGGAAGTTCATTTTTTAATATCGCAAAGTCCTCAATAGAATCAGGACGTGGATCTAGTCCGTCAAGTCTTTACACTAGTTCCTCGGGCCTGACGCCACCTCGAACACCTCATCCCGCAAGTCTTGCAGGTACCTCGACATCATATGGGGGCGCCAATTTAACCTCGGAGAACCTCAAAATCCGTCTCTATTACTTAGAAACACGATCCAAATGGCAAGACTGTGGAAATGCCAGATTAACAGTTACAGAACCACCACCAGGTATGCGGCAAGCTTGTGCTGTAGATCAGGGCATTGAACGTCGTATTCTTGTTACGCGAAAAGCAATGAAACCAGAGAATCCAGATGAAAAGGTGGAGGTGTTACTAGATGTTGTGCTTGGTGCGAATTGTTTTAGTATGATTGGAAATAAGGGAGTTACTTGTAACATATGGGAAGATGTTGTAGGACCTAATGGTGAGATTGGAATGGTGGGAGCTATTGGGAGAGTGAGTGGAAGAACGAGGAAGTGGTGTTTGCAGGCAGGGAGTGTGCCCGAGGCAAGCTGGATATACAGTTTGGTTGCTGTGGGAAGATAAAATTTGATGGGAAGAGACGAAGAAAGGAAGGAGGAAGAGAGGGGTTGAATATAGGCGTTTATGATGAGACAGTTGTTGATGGTTTTAGAGATACCACTTTTGCTTTTTGATATTTCGAGTTTTGGCATTGCTTCTTAATTCTTTTCTTTGTAAGTGTGTTATGGGGGATATGATATCTGTGGGATAGTTTTGTATGTATGAATGTATATAGGGGGACAGATCAACGACAAATATCAATGAGCAAGCGAGCGAGCGATGCATTAGAGGAAGTGTATTTGATGGTACGCATATAAATGGATGGAAAGGGTATGGGTGGTAGGAAGGTTGGAATAGTGAATATCATTGGTGGATTTTGATCTTGGCGTTTCATGGATGAATAGGATGGATGGATATTCTTTGTATATTATATGTGGATGGAAGGAAGGAAGGAAGGGATTTCTTGATACCTTTTTTACTGGGAGGGAGAAAGAAAGGATGGATGGATGGGTGGATATAATTTCGAGATGATGTGAGGAGTTGATGATGAGTGAATGGAGAGAAGGGCAGAACATAAGGAAGAACCCCTAACTCTCCGAACTACACAACACAACACAACATAATATAAACGAACGAACCGAACACGAAACCAAAGAAACCGAAAAACGTATATACTTTTTATACGGAAATCCTTACCTCTGCTGGATCTTTATCTTTTTGAAGATATGATATAAGGCTGTGACCTGGATTCAGGGGGCATACGAGGGTTTTGGGAGGGTTTTTTGGTGGGGGTGGAGGGGGTTTTGAGTGTTGTTTGAGTTTGTTGTTTTGTTTTGGTGAGGGGTTATGAGTGTTGTTTGAGGAGGTGGGAAGAGGAGAGGAGGGAAGAGGTAATGGGGGGGGAGGGAGCGGGGGTGAGGTATGAGTGGATGGTTGGGGGTTATGTATGGATGGATGAGTATGTATGAGAATAGACGAGAATGAAATAAAGTGATTAATTCAATGATATATTGATATATTGATTTAGATGTTATGTGGTGATTTTGTTGTGTTATGTTTATTATGAGGTAGGATTTAGAGTATTGATTTGATATGATGTGATCATATTACTTATTTGTCTTTTCACTTTTCTATAAGTATCTCTACTCCCATCCCATACTCATTCTCAGAGCAAAACAGGACAGAACAGAAATTCCCTCAATGCGCTGAATTATATGTTGATTAGCTATTCCAAAGATTATATTAAGGAAAATAGATAAATACATAGATATATAGATATTGTATTGTATTGTAAAGGTATTTGGAATTTAGACTAGTTAATTAATGTTATTAGTTTATTGGAATTATTACTGATGGGATGTTGGTATATCTATGTATTGAGTTGAAGATATATTTGGAGATGCACTTGGAGATAGATTAAAACATAATAAATACACAATACCCACCAATTTTAAACTCATAAGTATATTTATCCCAAGAACCCTGGGAAGGCATTGAAACATTTTATTTTTAAAACAGGATTTGCACGATATAATATTATACAATGTGATGCAATAGATGTGATATATAGATTTTCCATCGACGATATTTAAAAGATTATTTATTATAAGAAAGGAAAATAAAAAGAATAATAATGAATTCAAAGAAAGTACTCAGGATATAACTATATATCACTGCTTCACTGATTCTTATATGATTAAGTAAGACAAGCAAATTGATTTTTCAAATAATTCTTTATAAGAGTTTTTTTTTTTATAAATCTCTTATGAAAATGATTA